CTCTTCTTTTTTTGGTTTTTCGTTTGTATATGATTTATGCTTGTCTTCTTTTTTTTTCTCAAAAATCTTTCCCTAGACTTTAAATTTCAGATTTTTCTGAAAAAATGGATGAAGGAACTTGGATTACTAGAGGTATATCATTACGTGTCAAATTTGTTGATGATCCACTATGATTTTCGTTGGGTCTAACTCAAGCATTCAAAGATATTGAAATATATGTTGTTAAATCTTGAGTGAATGAAGAAATTAGATCCATTGAAGAGTTTGAATTCAAGCACCGAAATGACTCAATTATGATGCAATAAATTTTTAAAAAATTTCAAGCAAAACATAGAAGCAGAATATATATATATATATATATATATATATATATATATCAACACATTTGTATTAACAGAGTTATACATATATAATACCTTTATAATCAAGACATTTATAAAGTTTTTGATATATACTCAATTTTACTTTAACTTAACCTAAACTTCTTGATCACTATAATTTTTCTCTACAATTCAAGTTTTTGATTGATACTGTTGTTTGTTTTGCCAATTAGAATAATATCGTTGACAAATAGTATTTCTATACATAAAACTTCATCCTATATTTTGTACGCAGCTTATCCATAATTAGGATTTAGGGTAAATAAATACGTAGTAATTATCGAACCCGCAATTACAAAAAATTCCTTAATTTGTAGATAATCTCAACTACAAATTCTACTAATATAATAAGAGAGGTGAACCATTTTGGAAAAACTTAAAAGATAACACTGTCTAACATAAAATATTATGTTACATAGCTTATTAATTAGTACTTAAAATATACTCCATCTGTTTCTAATTATTTGTCCACTTTGAATTGAATTGGCACACCTATTAAGAAAACAATTATTGACATAGTGAGTTTACCATTTTACCCCTATTAATTATGAAGTTAATGAATTAAAAACTTAAGATTTTCAAGAAATGCTACATTTTTCAAAATAATTAATTGAGGGTATAATAGGTTAAAAAAATTGTCATTTCTTAATTTGTCCAAATGAACAAGTAATTAGGGACAACTAAAAAGAAAAATAGACAAATAATTAGGGACAGAGGGAGTATTATAATGCTATTGAAAACAGTCTTTCTATGGTACACTTCACGTTTTAATAAATTTTTGTGAAGCTACACAATTACTTTTATTGTTATTTGTAATATTTTATATTAAATTGTCGTAACATAAATATTTTTCTCTAACAGACAATTGCCTCAAAGATGTTATCGAGAAATCTTGACGTAACTGATAAAATCATTGTCATGTGATTAATATTGCGAGTTCAAATTATGAAAATAATCTTTTAATGGATTATAATAGATACTTATGATCAGACTCTTTTCGAACTCGAGCATCACAGCTTTGAGTGCACCTTTGACGGATTATAATAGATACTTATGGTTCAACCCATATCAAACTCGAGCATCATCAGCTTTAGTGCATGGAGCTATCCTATATTAATCATCGCAGATCGATCTCAGATCCATTTTTTTCCCCGAGATGATGAAACCCAGAAACTCAATCGCAAAAACAATATTCCAAATATTCAAGAATGTCAGTAATCCCAGAAAACCCCCATTTTCATCATCATCAATTTTGGAATCAGTTCCAAGGGAGAAAGTTGATTATTTGGTGATTGGAGCAGGTATAGTGGGCATTGCAGTAGCTAAAGAGCTTAGCGTAAATCATGATAGACAAGTTCTGGTTGTGGATTCTGCCCCAATTTTTGGAACTGGTACAAGTTCTCGTAATAGTGAAGTTATTCATGCTGGCATCTATTACCCTACTAATTCTCTCAAGGTTCTTTCTTGTTTTCATTTTGTCTAAGTTCTACTGTGAATCTTGTTGTTTTTTAGGGCATACCCATTTAAGGATTTAGTTAAAAATTGAATCTTGGGGTAGCTTATTGGTTGAGTTTTCCCTTTTTAGCTGATAAAGATTTGTGATTAAGTGTTACTGGAAGTCTGGATTTTGTTTTTAGGCATGATATGTGAACAGACACTTAAACTTGAGCTCAGCTAGCTAATAATCACTCTAGACAAGTCAACTTGTCTCCATTGTGTCAGTTGAACACTAGAACTTATAAAATGATCGTCTCGATACCTCCGGAAGTTATGTGTCATGTTAGCATCGGGTGTTCCCGAGACAGCGAGGATGAGTTGAAGTGTTTAGTTACCTCAGCTTGTCTCCATTGTGCCAGTAAGGTTTCAACTTACAAAATGATCATCTAGATACCTCCATAATTTATGTATCACATTAGCATTGGGTGTCCATGAGACATAGTGAGGACGAGTTAAAGTGTTTAGTTACCTCAGCTTGTCTCCATTGTGCAAGTTGTAACATTCCAACTTACACAATGATCATCTAGATACCTCCATAATGTATGTCATAGGTAATCTTGTTTTAGAAGTCTGAATATTTCCAATTAAGCATGAACTGAAAGTTTCAATCTGGTTCTGCTAATTGTTCGGGTTTCTTGTCTGTGTCTGTCTGTGGTCTTGCTTCTATAGTTACCGAGTAAGCATGAATGGGAATTTTGAATTTTGATACAGTTAATAAATCAAGTGAATATTCCCTGCTATTTGGAAGATGAGAAAATAGTGGTGTCTTGAAAGTTGAGTGTCTAACTGACTACAATTGAATGCAGCATGGAGAAACTAGTTATCATAGCTTGATTAGAGTACATTTACCTGATGTTTGAATTTCAAGTTGAGTTCAAGCACAATCTAGTAGCTGATTATCATGACTACAATTTCAGTGTTAAACTCTGAGTTCACCCTGGATTCAATTTTAAAAACCTTGATTTACAATACTATGCATATCAACTGCATATGCTCTAGCGATGCTAAATGTACAATACTATGCAAATTAGCGATAGCTATTCTTATCTTTACTCACTTCAATGCAAACTCTTATTTACACGTATGGATCTCTTTTCTAGAAATTATATAGGAGTAAGTGTCATTACTGGGATGTGGAATGTAATAGTTGTGAAGGTTCAAAAACTATCATAAGTAGTTCTACTGCAAGGAACTCCCACATGCCACACATGAGCTTTTAACTTTCAAATTTAATCGCAGGCATCTTTCTGTGTCAGAGGGAAAGAATTGCTCTACAAGTATTGCAAAGACCATGAAATTCCACACAAGCAGATAGGCAAGCTAATAGTTGCTACTGGATTATCAGAGGTTCCAAGGTTGAGCGCTCTCATGACTCGAGGAATTCAAAATGGGGTTGAGGATCTGCGAATGATGGAGGGGTATGAAGCTACTACACTGGAGCCTGAGTTGCAATGTGTTAAAGCTTTATGGTCGCCTTCCTCAGGAATAGTGGATAGTCATTCCTTGATGCTATCATTGGTGGTAATGCTTCTCATCATTCAGTCTCCAAATATATTATGTCATGTTGACTGCTTGCTAATCAACATCCAACGAGCTTATTCTTTAGAACTTCGGGGAAAAAATTCTCTCTACTTAGAAGATCTCAATTTATCATTATTTGTTTACCTTTTTAGAATCATTGATGTAATATTGACAGGACTATGACCATACCATGGGTTTAGGGCGAAGCTGAAAGTCATGGGACGACTTTCTCTTACAATACTGCTGTTATTGGTGGTCATATTGAAGGAAATCAAATTCAAATTCATGTTTCTGGGAGCAATGCCATTGCAAACTGGAATGGGAGCTCTGAATTGGACTCTGAACTTATTCTTATTCCAAAGTTTGTAGTGAATTCTGCAGGCTTAAGCGCTCCAGCCATTGCAAAACGAATGAAAGGTCTACCTGACGGTATTATACCTGCTTCTCATTATGCTCGTGGTTGCTACTTCACACTTTCAAACACTAAATCCCCTTTCAAGCATTTGATTTATCCTATACCTGAGGTTGGTGGCCTTGGAGTGCATGTTACCTTGGATTTGAATGGCCAAGTCAAGTTTGGTCCTGATGTCGAATGGATAAAAGGAATTGATGATATTCCGAGCTTCCTCAACATGTAAGTTCTCATTGATAATGTAAATTTTTGCATATTGAAGGTTGTAAAGCATGTTCTCCTTTTGAGTACTTCAGCCTACTACATTCTTTACACTTAAAATGGAAAATAGAATTGCAGAACAGTCAAAAAATTCCTTAATGCTGGAAATGGTTACTCTTCTTGCATTACGAAACTAACAGGAGCAAAAGAATTCTAATCTCCGACATGATTTGCTTATGATATTTTAGGTTTGATTACTCTGTGCGTGAAGACCGTGCAAATCAATTCTACCCAGCAATAAGAAAATACTACCCTAGTCTAAAGGATGGATCTTTGGAGCCAGGTTATGCAGGCATCAGACCAAAACTTTCTGGTCCAGAAGAAGGTCCTACCGATTTTGTAGTTCAGGTAATATCAAACTTATTCCGAGTTTCTAATCACATGCAATTCTTTAAGTTTGCCAAAATTAAGCACAGATGATCCAACGGACAGAAAATTAACTAATCCCTACAAGGTTAACGATTAGTACTCTGATCGGGTCTTACACCTGAAGTTATCAGACAAGAATGATCGGAATTACCTGAAGCAGAGACATTTTTGGTTACCTTTCCCTTCCATCTGCTAAATCTGATGGTCTCTAAAACACATGTTTTGCAGGGAGAGGACATTCATGGTATATCTGGTTTAGTAAACCTGTTTGGGATTGAATCACCAGGCCTAACTTCCAGTATGGCTATTGCAGAACATGTTGCTGCTAAACTACTGAAATGATATGAGATTTCTTCTGCTCGCGCTGAAGTGATATTTTTATGTTGCAGTAGTTTCAGTCAGCTGTTAAGTTGGAGAACTCTATAGACATAAAAATGTATTATCATTGAAATTTCACCATCTAACAAGGGATATATTGTACTTACGAGTTGCGAGTGACTGGTGACTTTAAGCAGTAAGAAGAGAGTTGTGGGCAACTGAATTCTGTTTGTACCCAAAACAAGAAACTTAAATAGTCATTGTTTCACTGTTTAAATGTTTTCCATTCTAACAATTGATTGTCAGTACACAACACATCCAGAGCCTCTTAAGCATCAGCTGGAATTGCAAATAATCTTTAACATTCTATAGAAATTTTTAACATGTTCAACAATATGGTTCATGATAAAAACAGCCATCCACTTCTGATTCCTCGAAGGGAATGATGCATGAGTTCCATTCTAAGATTTCACCCCGACAAAAGCAACTCGTAATATTGTAGAGCTTCAATATGTGATGAAGCCAACTAGGCAGCTGTTCTACCAACTTTCACCTGAGTTCTTGATATGACCATTCAAAAAACTTATGCTTGTATTATAACATAGAAATTCTCATCGTTTACGTTCTTGTCTCCACTTGTAGACAGGTTTGGTTGTTGGGTTAACAAGCTCTTCTTCACGAAGTTTACGTTTCCTTCCTGATTTCTGGTTAACATAAAAGGAATTATTCTAAGATCACCGTTTACAATCTTTGAATACAGAAAAGATATAACCTTAAATATACCTGTAATTCTTTCTGCATTGTCATATCCATGTATACTTTCTCTAAATCTCTCACTCTGCTCTTTCTTGCTTCCAACTCTCTATAAGATGTAGCTGTCTTCCTGCGCAGGAGATTCCAATAATGAAAAAGTTGACAAACTTTGCTTTGAAACCAAACGAAAATTAGTATACATATATATGAAAGTGCACATGTATCCACAGTGGATACTGTTTCTTTTAATTGCATTCCTTCCTTCCTTTCAGCAGTTACAATGTTGACATATCTCGTGAGGGATATGCTTGACAGATTTTAAATAGATTGCCAAACGGTTAGATTAAATTCAAGTTCAAAACATGATATAATCTGTTGTACAACATAAATAAGAAAAGGCTGCAATTACCTTCTAATACTGCTAGGCAAGTTCCCAGAAGCAGCCAGATTACTACGTTCTGAAGCTTTAGACGCTAGCTCTTCTGCTTCTTCCCTGACAAAACATAGAAAGCAAGAAATTTGAATATGGCACTGCAACACAGAAATATCTTGACAAAAAACAGAAAATTCAAAGTGATATTTGGGTGGCACTGCAACACAAGGAATTTCATTTGCTTGCTGTCCAAAATGATTATAATAGACTTAAATAAAGCTCTTAGGAATCCTTATATATAATCATGTCATCCTCTTCTCAAACATGTAGGATACAGAGGAGAGAGAATCAAAAGAATGATAAAAGAAAATGGCATTGCATGATTGTTTGAGGCCTAAATAAACAAAGCTAAAAACAGGAAAAAAGGAAAAGATACTGAGAAAGACAAGTCCCGAGAGGCTGAAATCCCACATCAGAATTCAAGCTTGCACTGAGATACTTGCACAGTTTCGATGATTCAGTATTTTATTTTTTATTTCTTTCCAAAGAGCCCAACATCAGTTAATTTCAACAATTCAGTCTCCTGAAAGATCAGTCATGAGTGGCACTAAATTTAATCAGGAAAACCTGCTTGGCTATTTTATTAGGACCAATGGAACTAGAGTTAGGTAATATTTGGAGATAATTTGTGAACAAAGTTTGGGTATCCATAAGAGATAATGATATACCATAAAGGAGGGAATCGTTGGTCCTTCTGGTTCAGTCATATGGTAAAAGTCAACCGAGATCAAGTAATGAGGTTTCAGCTCATGAAGAAAGCTAAATATTGGATGCAATATGTCAGGCCAATGAATTACCATCAAGTAGAGGGCTTCAAATGAGGCTTTAGTTGTATGGTAATAGTGAACTATTTTCTGAAGTTGAATGATATATCAACCCATGAGGATAATTAAAAATTGAACGAGAATTGTCAGGTAAATTACATTCAAATAGATGTTTCCAAACGTGACTATAATTTGACAGTGTACACACGTAAACACAAGAAAGTTATTTCAATCATGTATGCTGAATGTGTAACAATGGATAAAGAATTAAAGAGGTATTTCTAACCTGTCTTCAGCATAATAGACACGTTTGTTTGATGGCTGATTATCAAGCGAGTGCAGCATGGCGGTTAACTTCTCGATTTTCTGCATACAATAAGAGTTATTTGTTGATGACCAATACAATAAGAGTTATTGACAAGAAGGAAGCTGAAGAAACTTCTCAATTCAAGGGATCAACAAAGAGAGAGAAAGAAAAGAAAGTAATTACAACGTGAACCACAATAAGCAACAGTAAACCTTTTTCTCACTCTGAACTTTCTGCAAAATATAGCCTATATCCTGAGTCTTCATTAACATGAGTTCCTCTGGAGTGTATTTATTTGCTTGGCTCCTGGAAACAAGGAACAGTGTCCAACAAGTCAGGTCAATCACGACTGAGGAAGAAATCAGCTTAACCAAAAGATAGAATATTTGTATCTTACTCCAATTTGTGCACTCCATCAACAGTTTTTGTTTTAACCATCTTGAAGTAGAACTCATCTGGATTTCGAAATGCTGCTTTTTCCTTGAGTTTCTGTGAGGCAAATAACAAATATCACTCACATATCCAATCATACAAAATGTAAATGATCATTCAAGGCAAAGATAAAGGTCCCACCAAATAAAAAACCAAAAGTATATGTAGGAATCCCTTCAAAAGACTACTAACAAAACACAATCAAGGGTTTTGATCTTTTTGTAAGAACGAGAAATCAGCCAACTGCAGCCTTCGAAACTGGGGACGATGGACCCACCCCTCAACCCTACTCCACTTAAATACTCAACTTAATTCTTGAACATGTGACCAAAGAACAAGTTCCTCAACCTTTGCCAATTGAGCTAATCCGGGGGCACAAGGGTTTTATTTTTTAATACAAATGAGCTGTAAAAGCCCCATTGTGGGAAGCTGACCTTCTTTCCTTCTTCCAATCTTTCATTCTTTTACTCAGTGGAAAAAAATTTGGGCCTTGCAGCAAATATCACACAGCGCTAAACTTATATTCATGTCTCAACCACATATCAAGATTTAGCAGCAACAACAACATACCCAGCATAATCCCGCTTGTATGGTCTGGGAAGGTAGGATGTACACAGGACTTTACCCCCTACCTTTGTGGGGTAGATAGGCTTTTTTCCGATAAGACACTTGGCTCAAAAGAGGTGTAATAGAAACAGGATAGACAAGATAATAATGACAACATATAGAATTTCTCAAAAAAAATAATAATGAAGAATCAGATACTACACGAATACTAGTTAAGAATACTAAAAAAAGAGAAAGATGAGACTAGCTCCGAGCCTCTTCCTCATAAAAGTACTCAAACACACGGACTGCCTACTACCATGCTACCCTATTCTCCACCTCCAAACCTTCTTATCTAAGGTCATGTTCTCTTCTGTAAGCTGAAGATTTAACGTATCAAGCTATAGAATACTTTGAATTCAACTAATTCCATATCTAAATCTTCATATCTAAGCTCATGTCAGCTAACATATTGAGCTATAGAACACTCTGAATTCAAATAATTCCGCATCTACGTTTTCTTTTAACTTGTAAACCTTTCAATTCCTCGTAGAACAACAAAACAAAACAAAACAAAAAAAGCTAAATTTTACCTGTAAAGCCTGCTCCTTTTTGTGGAATGCTGTCGCCCGTACCACATAATCTTTGTGTTTCTCAAGCAACCCGAATTTTTTCCTTGCTTGTCTGATAAAAAAAATTACAACAACATTAAACCAAATCAACTCAAAAACACAAACAATCAGTATAATATGTGAAATATTACAGAATCACTTACGGTTGAGCTCGCTCCTTATGAGCTCGTCTAGGAATTGCATTCTTGAACGACGACATTTTACAATTGATTAATTCACTGAAAGCAACAACAACGAAAATTCTTCAAAAAATTTCACCTTTCTTCACAGACAGCAAAAAGCAAATCTACAGGAAGAAGAAGAAGATTAAGGGTTTGGTACAATTGCAGGGTTTTAGGATTTGGGCCTTTTTTTGACCCGTTACTAAGTTGAGGAAGGGCTTTAGAATTTGAGATGGGCTAAATGAGGTTTGGACCAAAGTATTTTGCTTAAGTTGATTATTTTTCATTTTTACCTTTAATATATAACCAACTCAACTCAAAGAATATTCTTTGGTGATTTTATAAGGACCATTTGCACAAATGGCTTATTTTGGGGATGTCATTTTATTTTGTGCTTCGGCATTTTAACTTCTTTTTTTTTTAAAGAAAAGTGGTTGAAAATACTCTTGACATCGAAATAACAATCAATTTTTGTTTTGGATAAGTTCATATGTTTGTAGCATAATATAACACAAGTTATGCCGCTTAGATCCCCTAGAACTTGTGTCGATAGAGGCAAAAGTTCAATTTAGTTGTAAAAGACATAATTTAGTTCATACATAGCTTATGTTGAGAGAGGTAAAACTTTAGTTTCAGAACTCTTAAGTTATGTCGTAAAAGACATAATTACTTAATTACTATTACCATAGAACTTATGCCAATTAAGACAATCATTTTCTAAACTTATGTCTAGTGAAATTAGGTCATAGATAAGGGTGTTTTACTCCACGAGTTTTCATTAAATGAGCAATATGACTAGAATTTCGATTTTCGGCTATGGGTTTATCAAAGCTCGATATAGTACTCTCGACTCTCTAATCCCTTCCTGTATTTGATTCTTATATTGTTTTCCATCGATGTTTGAACTTATATTGATATCCGATTGAATTTGAACTCACATAGAAAAGTTATATTAAAAGGTAAAACACTTCCTAACAAAAACAATTTCATACTAAGAGAAACTCAAACTTGAGAACTCTGATTAATAAGTTATTAATACTTGTTGTTCCACCACCATCCTCGTCGGTTCATTCTCTACTTAGTTTGTTTTGAAGTGATAAGTTGAAGAAAAGTCCCAAAGGGCCACATCTTTTCTGTCTTTTTTTTTGTCCAATAATGTATATATTGATATACCAACTTTCCAAGAAGTTTCATGGAAGATGAAACTTGAAATTTTGTATATCTTAATTGTATCAAAATCTACGATCTTATAGAGATAAGGGATAAAATCTATGTACGTAGATGCGCTTACAAGACTCTTAAGATTTATATCTATGTTGGCTTAAATAAAATGTTTGTCTTGTGGATAGTTATACCTACTTGTTCAATATTATAACGAATACTTTAGATTTGTTCTTTCTAAAAAGAATATCATGTTTAATTAGTATTTTATAAAATTCTATATTATAAAAACTTCAATAGTTTGAACACGAGTTTTACTAGTCACATAATTGATAATTCTTATCATTGCGCCAAAACTCTTATTAGTTGTTATTCAACCAAACTTTTCCATAAATCCATTATGGGAATATATACTTTTCCATAAATCCATTATGGGAATATATATACATACTTGTTTACTACTATTTCAAGTGGATGTGATTATTTTTAATTGGAAGATCTCTTGCTAAATGCCAAGTTTCAGCCCACAAGAAGAAGAAGAAAATATAGTGGAAGAATTAAATGAAAAGAAAAGTAATTTGTTTTATAGTTGAAAAGAAAAGAAAAAAATTAATCTGAAATAGTTTCTTATAAAAATAAAATAATACAATATATACATATGTCAGTGATCTAACACTAAAAAACACTGTTCGAAAGTGAAATATCTTTTTTTTTTTGTCAAAAGCACGAAAAAATACTCTCCAAGAGTATGAAATGACTAGTTTTTTGGTCAAAATATTCATAGTAATATATATCTTTTTATATTTTCATATCAAAACAAAGGAAAAATCAATTTATTTTTCGACGAAAATTGAATTTTGCAAATTATATCCTAGACTAGAAGATCATTTAAAGTTAACTATTACTTCACAGTAACAAAGAACCAACTTTTTATTTTTTATGATTTTCGCAATCGACTAAACATTCACACAGAATGAATGGAGTAATATATATATCCTTAGATCATGGAATTATTGATTGATATAATCAACGAAAATTCAGATGAAACTTCTTGCTCCCACTTGATTTCGCTCTACCTAACCTACATGAGGAATAGGTTGGGGAGATATACCTAAATTATATGAAAAAAATAAATACAAATGAAAAGCTATCGTTTTTTATTGCCATTTGCATTGAGAAATTTCGAGGAAGTTTAAGAATAGAACACAAAATGGAAAAATTTCCACATTACTTTATTGTCGTTTTTAGAGAAAAAGGACATTGGTAGGTTAGATGTCAATTTGTAACTAAAATCAATTATTATTTATTGTATTGAATTTTCTATTGGCTGTATGAACAGAGAAAATAGTATTATGGCACACGACAATTTTACAAGCGTTTTTGGAAGTGCTAATTACGTGACTCAATAGTACTAAAGTTTAAATACTTTTTTTTTGGTCTCAAAATAAGTACTAAGTATTGTTTTAGCTTTTTTCACGTTCAATGAAGAAAAAATAATAAATACAAAGTATTATTTATATTCAGAATTCTGTATCCATATTAGAGTTTGATTAAATTTAAATTTCAGTCGAAAAATCCTAATGATCCGTAACAAAGGCGACTCCCTCCCACATTGGTATAATTGAAAACAATTACTCTCTCTATGTCTCGATTTATGTAGCAAATCGTGAATCCAAAAGTAGAACCTTTAAGTTTTTAAAAATTAAATTTATGTTCTTTTTTTAAAAAAAATACATAAAAAGTGTTATAAATTACAATAATAACGACTTAAAATATTTTTAAAACATAAACAAACTTCGATAAAAAAATTTTGATTGACTCTCAAAATTTCAATTGTTTCACTTAAATTAAGACGAAAGAAATTCTAATTATTATCTTGAATTTCTAAAGCGGTAATCATTTTCTTTTAATTGCTAAAACAACACCTATTTGGCTATTTCAAAACGAAAGAAATGCTTACTTATTAGTAGGGGTGTTCACGAGTCGGTTTGGATCAGTTATTGGTCAAAATCAAAATCAAACCAACTTAATCGGTTTTAAAATTATCGTTTGGTGGTTATCGGTTTCGGTTTGGTTTGGTTCGGTTATTCGGTTATTAACCATACACAAAAATAAAAGATACAATTCATTCAAAATGTTAAAAAAGTGACAACAATCTATTCAAAATGAAAAATAGTTAGAATGACTTAAATTATTGAACTTTCAATTACTAAATTTACTATCAATAAAGCTTTAAAATTCACTATATTGGCATAGAAGGAAGAGACAATAACATTTTCAGTCCCACAAAGAATTGTCATAGACACATATACATAAAATCAATAAGATAAATGTTTCATCTTGGACATTTTTGCTTTCAATAAGTAAATTATAAAGAAATTTTAATGAAAATATGTATAAGATCTTTAAAATTGTTTATAAAAATAATATATTAAGTATGTATATTAATTAAATATATATATATAATTCATCGATTCGATTCGATTATTTCTTCGATTTTTTCAAATAAAATCATAATCAAACCAAATACTATCGATTTTCAAAAATCTAAACTCAAACCAAACCAAACCAAATCCAAATAAAATCAATTTTATTTAATCGGTTTGATTCGGTTTGAATCGGTTTTTATCCAAACCGTGAACACCCCTACTTATTAGTATATGATATATCTTTAATTGTATGATTGAAATTCTTTTAATTACTTCATAGTTTTACTTTTCTTTATTTATATTTTGAATCTTATGGATAAAATAAAAATACTGACTCAATCCAAAATAATGAAAATACTACACTGAAATTAGATAGAATCTGAGTCCATATATATTATGTCCCATTTCATTTAACGGGGTCCATAAATTTTTTATACACAATATTGGCATGATTATTCTTCTAATTAATCCAAATTATTGAATAATCATCATTTTTTTTTCCCAAAAAAAAAATTAAAGGACTTATTTTTTCAGGAATCACAAGCAAAGATTTTGATCAAACGATTCATCTCTGCTGTTCCATCATAAGACTAAAGTCCTCGAAGCATACGAATCCATCTCCATTTTTATCCACACCTCTTATCATACGCCGGCACTCTTCTAATGTGCACCGTCCATCTCCTATCGTTCTAAACACGTTAAAAAGCTCCTCCGCCGTGATCTTCCCGTCGTGATTAGCGTCGAAAAACTCAAACGTATCTCTCATCTCGGAATCACACGACGGAGGACCGAACGCCGAGCTTATAGCTCCGAATTCCTGTAAACTAATACATCCATCTCCGTTTACATCTACTTCATTAAGCAATTGTACTAGTTCCTCCTCGGTTGGAGGATCCGATCCAACTCGAGTCAAAATCGCCGAGATTTCCTCCTTATGTATCTTCCCGTCGCCGTCTACGTCGATCATTTGAAAGGCTTGTACGAGTTCGGAGTAAACTTCGGTAGGGATTTCAGACGGCCATTGAGTAGTAGTACTGGGTAATACACTGGTCGGAGTGGTTACGGACCCGGAGGAGGAGGAAGAGGTGGTTACGGACCCGAATGAGGGGTTTTCGGATCTGGAAATAGATCGTTTTTTTTTGGATTTGAAGAGCTTTTTGGGGAGATTGGTGATGAGCTTCATGGTGATGAATTTGGAGAGTAAAAAGGAAGAGAAGAGAGAATGGTGAAGAAGGAGAGAGGAAGGAGAGGAGGTTAAATGGGAGGAGGAAATAGCATGCCATAGTGAGCTTCCAGGAAATTTCCTAGAGTGAATGATAACAGAAAATAAGGCTCTATTTATTTGGTTCCTTTAGTTACCCGTCACTCGATGTCCGATACTCGTATTAAAGTCTAGTTAAATATGAATTTGTGATAAAAAAAACTCTAGTGGTTAAATGAAGTGCTTGAGAAGTTCGAGATTTTAGATTCAAAATCCAAGTGGAAATAAAAGGTGGTTCTTTTCATCAGTTATAGCCTTGATGAACATAGTTATCTTATAATA